ATTTTGCTTCCGAGAAACATGCAAAACGGGACGGAAAACATGAAATTTTGCAATAATCTTGCGCCACTCTTGCACAAAACGACGATCATTCTAATTTCATAGACAACAGAAGACTTTAAAACTGGATCCGCCCCTGGATTCTATCCAGAAGTTCTCAATTCCTCTCACTAATAAGGCAGCACAAACTATGTCTGATGTAACGCTGCCCTTTATTACTTCCTCTTCGCCAGTAATAAATAAAAAGGCTGGCATCTGCAAAGCGTATTGACTAATGTAAATCTAATGGACACTAATGTAAATCTGTTTGAAATGTATAAATAACATAACCATGAAAAATTGATGTTCATTTTTCGTCTCTGGTACATCAGAAGCCACAAGAGGCAATTTTCTTCGAAAGACTGGCCAACTTTGTTATTTACTTAGTAAGCGATTTCGGTACTGTACATACTTTACGACGATAAAGGCAATAGAAATACCCTCTTTAGCAATATAGTTTTGGTTCGTTCCTTTAAAATGTAAAAAAAACCTTTTGGCAAACATCAGAGGTGTTCTGAATTAATAACGACTCGTAATGTATCGGGAAGTGACTGTAACTTGCTCCCAATGGATGAAAGTCTGGTAAATCGAAGCGTTTTATGTATCCGTTCCGTAAAAAAACTTCTTGGAAACTGTTAAAATTTCAATGTTACGACTTGTTCTGAAATCGATGCTATTTTTATGTTTTCAGAGCATTGGGCGTTAAATAGATAAAAAAAACGCGTACGGCATTTTGGAGGTGCCCGAACTAGTGTAGTCCATGTGCAGATTGCCCAAAAGTAGTTGTAGTGGCGAGTCTGTAAAGTGCCTGACGAGTTGGTCTATCAAGGGGATAAGTACAGTACTTAGTTAATCTATGGTACAGTCTGATACAGAATTACAAAATGTTATTTAGTTATTATTAAAGTGAATTCAGATTTTTGAGTCGCGGTTGGCTGAAATAGAACGTATTGCACTATGTCTGGGGGCTGCAGTCCCATAGTCCTTCCTAAAGTCGCCACTTTTAACAGTCGGGGCAATATTAATTCTAACTAGGAAACATTCGGGAACGCATTTCATTGGGTTAAAAGGGACTCCTCCCTTTTCGTCTGTTCCGATTGTTTAGGTCAGGTGATCGAGGTGGCCAATTTTTGCTGCACCGCTTCCAATTGATCTGTATTTAATAGTTTTATGTAATATTGGGTTGAAAGGAGGCGGACGCCTTTTATGGGCATGAATGAATAAACTTTGGCTTTTAACCGACGCGGCAGCACAAATCGGAACCAGCAAAAATTTCTGTAGTGTGTTTTTATATATCCTATACATTAAACGCGCTTTTAGTATAACACTACTTATACTGATTATACTGTATAAAAAGTCAGTGTTCTTTACAAGTTTTATTTTTGTTTCAGCAGAGTCTCCTGCTTCCTATGCATAGCATTCTGGATGTTTTCCACAGGGCCCTCAGTTCAGGAATCACATGTGGATAAAATGTATGTGTAAAAATATTTTCGTTAGACTGATTTGCCATTAGGTTAAAGGTAGTGATCAACTGTTACGTTACAGTACGGGTATTCAAATTAATGTAGAATGGTTCCGAGCCATGACGATAACATTCTGACTAAATATTATTTTAGTTCGTCCCCATTTAGAAAATGTCTCCGCCGTATTTGCTTTTCTGTTACTTTTTACTGATACAATCATTTTATATTCCGAGTTGAAAGGATCCACGTAAACCACTGGGGGAGTGAAGTCCTTTCAATAGCCTAACTTTTTCACAACACCGAAAAGCAATAGCAAAAAGTGGAAGCTACAATTGATTCTTTATCTCTATTCAGTAATTACATCTGGGACTTGGATCGTATAGGTTTTGCATGCCATACATCAAAACGCGTTCTGCAGTGGCTGTATCCTTACTTTGCAAAAAATGATAGAAAACACTAAGTTTGAAAAAGTAAGTGTTCTCCAGTAGCGGATCCAGCTTTCAAGTCAGGGGGGGGTCATGTAGTAGAAATTCAGTTTTTTCTTGTATATGAAATTAGAGAAAATATCGTTAGTCGACATAAACCCAGCACAAGGGGGGAGGTCATGTCAACCATTATAACATGGTTGGTCATGACATGATATTGGTATCGTTGGATAGAGAATTGAAAATTCGATTCAGTCAAAACTACATGTGTGAGGAAATTAGGGCAGTTTTGACGCAGTAAGAGAAATTTGGATCAGACACTTAAGTGCAAGATTATGCCAAAATTTCACGTTTTCAGTCCCGTTTTTTCTCATTTCTCGGAAGCAAAATGAGCAAGAAAGCCCATTTTTATGACCCCCATACGCTCCCCCCCCCCTTCCTTGGATCCGCCCTTGCATTATCGAAAAAGTTTGAGGAACCCTGTTTAGACAAATCTAACTATTGACGTCTTGCCCTCAAATGACTAAAGATTCCAAACTATATATTTTACTGCCAATATATATCATCTAGTTAATTTAATTAGGTGTATAAAGCTGGGGAAGAATTTAACGTATAAGAACAGCGTAGACGTGAATTAATAGACGATAGATGGTTCAAGCTTGTTTTTAAACTTCTTTCTATTAAAGGTACGGTACTTATTTTCCGCCGTTGCAAGAATTAATCCGAAACTAACAAATCTTGTTGCATGCACACTAAATATTTGAGGTATTAATTAAACTTAGTTCGATATTTACAGGCGGCCGTAAACTTCTTGATTTAATTAATACTAACTTATCGGCTGCGCTGGGACCAAAATTCTGAAACCCAGATTACCAGGTTGGATGGCGTTGGATAGATTATCTGAAATTAAATAGTTTTGGAGCATCAGGAAATATTAGCAATTTTTTTATTTTAGATTATAACTGCAATGCTATAGTTGTTGGATATGTGACTTTGTTTTTGCAACTTGCCCTGTTGAAATAAGTGGGAATTGATCATCACAAAATAAGTTTAATTAAATGAATTATTTGGAATATGTATATAAATCAATTCAATTTTATGTAAAATGTAACATACATGTTATATCAATTTCACATCATTAATTTAATCAATATTATGGTCAACATATGTAGTTTCTGTATAAAACATGATGCTGTTGTGTTGACAAAACACCGACGGGAAGTATCATCAGTGAAGAAATAGCTGATGTATCACAACAGTTAACATTAATACCACTAATCAATTAATCAATATGATCAATAGTCAATAATATTCAAAATTTCTAATATATAGCAAAATATACATAAATATACAGGCCCTGCCTATGTGGCAGGTACTTAGAAAGACAGACAATAAAATAGTGTTTTAAATTTGGCACTTGACGGTTCTTGTGCACCGCATTTTGTGAAAATTTACACAACCACCAGATCAATCACATGTTTCCCTAACATTCCCCGTGAGTGCAATCACCGACTCTGCGTGGTTTCCTAATATTCTCCCCGTATTTGCAGGGCTGGACCCTGCGGTGTCTCAAGTCAAGTGTAGTTTAAATGTCCAATTTGACTATTGGCACTTCGAGTTAGATTAGTCAGACTTTGGCTTAACTATCATTTTACTGATAATAGAGTATTTAAAAATATGGAACGTAGAAATGCTCTGGTTACCCTAAACTTGTGATTTCATATAGGTATATCATTATATGTGTTGTATTTGATTTGAATAGGTATGTAAGCATTTTTCTAGGGACATTTAACATTATTGGTTTGTTTGTTTGTTGCAGGTTCAATGGATTATAAAATGGTAAGTCCATCTTTAATTTTATTAAATCATATTTTAAAATAGCTTGGAACTTAGATCTCTATCTGATAGTCTTCTCGATAGTTATTTTCACTGATGCTTTGCTGGATAACACTCTGTTAACTATTTACCATATCGTTATGCTCTCGTACATTTCTCTTCAGCAGGGTCTACTAGGTATTCGGCATTTAACTGACTGATCAGCTCTTTTAATGCCGGTTTCTTTATGTTCGTCGTAGACACTAGTAATTTTACACTTCCTGATATTTCAGTATTTTGCATTACTGTAAATCTAAATCCAATAAGTAGAACATCAATAAAATGTAGATAGGTTCTTTTTTTGTATATACTTTCCTGACTGTGTTTCAATTCCAAATCAAATTCATTCCTGGGTTTCAGTCATTTATTGTCTCTATTTATCAGTCAACATACGTTTCGGTGTATTTTTCCACCATCATTAGTTTTTATGTGTAACGTTGTTGCTGCTTTAAGCCTTGGCATGCATTTTCTACAAAATCTTCTTACAAAATGCATGCCAAGGCTTAAAGCGCAACAACGCTACACATAAAAACTGATAATGGTGGAAAAATACACCGAAACGTATTTTAATTGATAAATAGAGACAATAAATGACTGAAACCCAGGAATGGAATTGTTCTTTTTTTTACAAACTGCTTGTTGGATATTTCGCCTCAAAAATTTTGTCTTTAAAAAAGACAGAATTTCCGCCGTTTTTATTGCAGATTGATAAATAGTGCGCTTATTTCGCAATAAGCACGAATTATTTATCAAAAAGTAATTAAGAACTATCACCTAGAGGGTATCCTGCGACACATTCAAGCGGTAAGAGAAAATTCCAATTAGTAAAGAAATTCATTTGAAAAATTACCTTGACGTTTCGTTAGCTATTTTCTACTATCGTTATCAAAATAACCTGAATGAACCTAAAAAAGAATATGTTTTTAATTTAATATTTTTTTAATCAATAAAATGGTGGCGAGTTTTTGTATTATCTCTATGTTAGCTTTTGATAGTATGTGGTTAATGTTGCTATAATTAAAAATCAAATAGTAAATTCTCCAATTCAAATTGATCAAATTGGTGGTTTCTTTGATAACATTTTGTTTTTAAATTACTTACTAGGATTGTAATCTTAAAATGTTTGTTATTTGCTTGTTAAATCAATCATTTGATGTGTTTTGTTCGTTGGGCTTTAAACACTATTTTAATATGAAATATTCGAAACATTGGTCATAAACTGTCATATTACATCACTTTCTAACCTTGCTTACATCCATGCATAATTTGATGGAAAAGTTGCCTTGTAGTTGTGCATGTACGACAAACCATCACGGCACAGCATTGTATAATAATAAAACTTAGAGGGGTTTTATAAAAATTTGCAATTTACTGAGAAAGATGAGCTCTAATTGCCTGATAAAGTTACAAGCAGGTCAGATTTGATTATAGGAGGCTAAATTGTTAAATGGTGAAATCATATTTTTCAGTGTATTTTCTCAACGGATTCATGAAAAAAGCACTCATTATTCACACCGAATTGGGCTGGTTTTTATTCAGCATATTTGCAATGTCAGATTATAACACAATTTTGTTTAGTATGGGTAGCAATTGATCAAATAAATCAGGTCCTTACCAATCGTCAAATACAAGGGCCACGGCACTTGAGTAACCATTGAACCAATAAAATTAATCAAGTAGAAAGATTTATGGCGTTTTTATTCAATGCTTAAATCCAAGCGGATATACATATAAAGACACATATTTCCTCTGAATGATACCATTAACTAGCTACTTAGTACTTACTCTGAACAATTCACTGCTTTTTTGTATTTGTTAATAGTCGCAGTTGGAATTGATTGCAGTTTAGCATAAAAATTTTCATTACTTATAGCTAAGAAAAAATCACTGCAAGCGCCATTTTTGTCAGTTATTTATCATAAAAGCAGTTGAAATAATATGATCTGATTACATATTAAATAAGATAAGTGAAGCTACTATCACGAATGCATGCTTCCTTTCTTTATAGGGAAAATATTTGTGAATGTCTGTCAATAGCGATTGCCAAAATTGGAGGATCAATTTGGATGTAATTTATAGATATCTACAATATTTATTAGATTAAAATTCAGGTCGGAAACAGATTATACTAGCTGTAAAGCTAAGCTAGTATTCATATTTATAAGATTCGCTCTAAAGTTGAACCAAAACAGTTTGTTTGTAGCGTATGTGATAAAACGTTTTTTTAGTTAGAATTTTTGTACTGCATTTTATAACGCATTATGCACGTTATGCCGTTGAAAACACAGCAAAAAATATATAATGACTAGCTGGCCCGGCAAACCTTGTTCTGCCATATAAATTATTTCTAGTGAATATTTTGGTTGTGAAAATTTAAATTATAATAATAATTATTATTATTATTTTCTGAATAGAAACACCCTAACCACCTAGCGGTATGAAATATACTTTACCACCTATTCTCATACCTACCAAATACACATAAAAAAATTTCTAAAAATCGGTCGAGCCATTTCGGAGAAGTTCGACCACAAACACCGTGGCACGATATTTTTATATATATAGATTTAGCAAGCCCATCTTGTATAACAAGGATCATCATTGACAACAAAATTTATCATTTATCTTCATTTATCAACATTCAATAAGAAAATCGGCCAAGCAAAGGCCCCCAATCGCTGAGTAAGTAGGCGCCTACAAAATAGATGATTCCTTTACAGCCAAGCAAATATTTTTTACTAGGAGTATTGCATGTGCCACTGTTGTGTATGAGAGGGTTTTTCACCAGTACCATGTGTTAAATAAATCGCAGGCTTTTATTAGGCGGTTCAATAAAATAATACTGCATTTAATGTACGATTTAAAAGGTAATAAACAATGTGCCCATTCAAAACGTATACACCGACAACAATCTGGTGCAAATAGTGCTTTCTGCATTTAAGGTATCCATTAAATGTAGAAGCACTGGGTAGCCCAACGGGTAGAAGAGACATATCAGGACATTGATCTTTTAATTGTTGAATAACAAATGAACCTCAGAAACATTGTATACTACTCGGCCTGAGGTTATGAGAAAACAAAGTATTAAAAACTATATTAACCATTAGCAATTCTGCGTGAACGTTGTGGTTTATATAGTAATCAGATTATATTGTGATCAATTTCCAAAGGCGGTTTTAAAATATGCAAGCATAAAATTGAAATGAACGGACGCGTTACATATAAACTTAATAATTGTTGATTGACATTTTCAATTCGAGTTAAGCATCCAGTATCTAATAATATCACTGTAGAATACTGTAGAATGTTTTTTCCTTCTAAAAACGCGTTTAACACTTCAACATTGCATTTATGTTTTATTGCAAATTAAAGATGATGACGTGGAAACATGACTTAACCAAGGCACTAATTGAAAATCAACAACCTTCCACGAAAAATGCAAACATATATAATAACGATATTTGTATTAGGTTTTTATTTCTTTGTTAAATTAGTGCTGAGACAGTCTATGATACATCTTACATCTTGTGGTGGTGAGAGTAGAAGTGTTTTAAAAGAAATAGTTTTCTCAAGAGTAGTTTTAAATATTTGGACAAGACAAATTTCTTAGAGAGTTTTAATTCAAGTGCATTTAAAAATTGCATATTTTTGTTATCATATGATTGTATTGAAGTGTTAAAAGAAAATTTAAAGTACTGTTTTACTCACATTTTCGCAAACCGGGACTAAAAGCGATACGGGTCACCCTAAGCGTAACAAAATATTATCCATGACTAAGTGACGGAGAGGTTAATTGAAAATGTACTATATCAGCTATTATTTCCTGGACCCCAATTAATATGATCGTAAAATATAATAAGCGTATTGGAGTGCTTTCACAGTGGTTTTGAATCAAGATTTTTGTGAACTAAACTACACACCCAATATACAAGGCGTTTATTATTATTTCAAGAGCTTTACCTTTTCGTGACTTGATACGAAGATTATGTCAATTTGATTCAACATTTATCGCTTTAGAACTTATTTGTGAACGATAAACCGTACTAATAAATCAAAATCAATTCCTGGGATTCAGTCATTTATTGTCTATTTATCAATTAAAATACGTTTCGGTGTTTTCCACCATCATCAGTTTCTATGTGTAGCGTTGTTGCTACTTTAAGCCTTGGCATATATTTTAATGGCATATATTCAAATATATGCCAAGGCTTAAAGTAGCAACAACGCTACACATAGAAACTGATGATGGTGGAAAACACCGAAACGTATTTTAATTGATAAATATACAATAAATGACTGAAGCCCAGGAATTGATTTTGATTTGGAATTGAAACACAGTCAGGAAAGTATGTACAACGTACTAATAAAATGATGGTTACTGCTCTAATTGGTATTGGTGGTAAAATTTTGCTTTCAGAACATGTTTAATTAAACATTTACTGATTAGATTTAAGCTGATTTGGATTTAATCGGGTCGAAATGTACACTTGCTTTCAAAATGTTCAATTTTCTTCTAAATTGGTCCAAAATGTGTACATGTACAATTCCATACATACATGTATATTCATACATATCGGAAATTATAAATTAAATTATCGTTTGTATTCAGAAGATTTCCAAGAAGTTTTTGTAACTATTAAAGACATTTAATGCAACATGCATGTGTACTCAATGTGCATGTGTGCCTAAGTCTTCTACGGTGATTATAAGTTGGTAATAATTTAATTTAAGCCCTCAAATTGGCCAACATGTGTAAATATTATTATTGCATTTGATTGTATTAAAAATGAATAAGAGTAATTCGACGCGGCAAAATAGCGATATGAAAACATTAAATTGGAATAGAAAATTGTACATAAACTTATTTTTAATACTAAATAAGATCAAATTATTAAAATCCGGGTTAGTTTTAGTTTAGTTTAAAATAATTTGTGCGGTTTTCTCAATTTCATATTGAAACTTATTTTTTGAACTCTTGAACTCTTTGAACTAACTGTATTAGCAGTTATTAAAATATTATCGAAATTATCTATTAAAGTAAGTCTCTTTCAACAAATAATGCGACTCAAATTAAGTAATATGTACATATTTCCTTATAGAAAAAATTAATAATTTTGCCTGTTCCTGTCATTTTTTACGTAAAATTTCAAATATACCAAAAACAGTTAGACTTAGACATACGAGACTATACTCGAAATATATTTAGAATTTAGAGTAGAATTGAAAAATGTAATAACATATACTCCATCTAAAATAAGCAAGTTGATACCTGCTTCCGGTATAAGTGTCGGCAGCTTGAAAATATTTTAGATCGCTTGCCCCTACTGACTTCAGAATACTGTCCAATTTTCAAATTTGTCCTAATTATAGTTTGCCCTAAGTATATCGGTTGCAGTGATTCTCGTTGGGACACCCTGTATATAGTGAGAACCGCTAATGGAAAATAATTTAAACTAAATATGGTCTAAAATGGTGGTAAACGAAGAGACCTTCACACAAGGTGTAACTCGACCCGCTATTCGATTAAAGTTTTCAGACAGAAGAATATTGGGGTATATTACTCGGGAATATTACTCGAATACTCGAATATTCGAATACTCGATTATTCAAATATTTGTTCGATATTCGAGTATGTATTTGAATAATTTAACTATTCGAATAAACCACGAAACAAATATTCAAATTTCAGATTTTTAAATAATTCGAATTTTATCAAAATCTAATATTATTTTCATGTGTCAAATACTTGCGAATTATTTAAGTTATGTAAACGTAATTCGTAGTGCAGTGTAACAAGAAATCATATTTTATATACCAATGATAATAAACTTACCATTTTATACAGGGTGTCCACAAATTTAAACTAATCAAATAAGAACTTTAAGTGGCTATAACTTGATTAATTTAAATACAACTCCATATTTTTTAGCTTACCAGGAAATGCAATTTTTAATTACCTATCGAATGGTACTAGGATGTTGATAACTAAGTTTTTGCCTTTTTACAAAATAAACCAAATAATGGTTCTGTGCACCATTTGGTGTTTTTTAAATTAAAAAAAAATAACATATCAACAATAACATAAAACAAAGGCAAATTATTTATAACAAATGTTCGAAATGTTGACCGTCCATTTCCAGGCACTTGTAAATTCT